TATGGCGTCTTCTTTGATAGTAGCGGGGAGGTTCTTCATAATGACCCGAACCGGTTTTTCGAATTCTAACTGGTAGGAGTGATGGGGAATCTTTTTTTTTCAAGTAGGAGGCAAAGAATCTCTAAGGAGAAGAATGAAAGCTTCCATAGACGCAATGTAAACCTGTTTCGCCTCTGCTCCGCTGTACCGAAGAGCCACGGCTATACAGTGAAACACCAGCGCAGGGTGAAATTTAAACAGCGCAGTTCGAGAAGATAGTAAATTTTTTACTTTGAAATAACTCAAAATGTTTTATTTTCATACATTTCTGGAGTTTTATGAGCAAAAGGATGTTAGTTGGAATTTTGGGGCGAATTATAGAAATCCTGTCCAATTTTTACTTTCAATTTAAACAGCGAGCAGTACGAAGACAAAGTTTAAATGAAATAAATTTCTTAATTCTTTTCTTCTGTAAACTTAAAAAGAGGGGAAACACATGCCATACAAAACGTAATAAATTTTTATGGATCCATAGTTAAAATTTTACAGTGAAATTTTAAAATCAAAATTTGCTATAGCTAACTGAAACAGAAAAAAATATTTAAAGACAATTAAAGGCACCCCTAAATAAATTGAAAACACTGAAATACATTATAATTATCCGACAACAACTTTAAAAACAAATTACCATGAAAACGTTTAGACAATTATTTAGAATGACCATTGTGAAAACCAAGAGCAAAGTTTGACTACAACAACAAAGAACGTTTTCGAACAACGTGGTAAAAGATTGCTAACATGGCCGACGGCATGCTGCATTCTTTGATGCTGCTTTGTTGCCTCCTGATGTTATTTCGCACATGCGCAGTGAGGTACGGAGGGTGGATAGCTTTGGAATGGTTTGCCCCTTTAAAGTAAGCTTCAGGGATATACATAATGTGTCTCTTCGGTCTGACGGAGTCACATTTGTCCCGAGGAACCTTTACTTCTTCTCCTTAGAGATTCTTTGTAGGAGGTCATTCATCGCGCTGCAATCTTTCAGGTTCTTAGTGTACACGAAGACGGATTTTCGTCTTATTTGGGATTCATGGAGATCTGTACAATTTACCGAGAACATTTCATCCAAAGTCATCCAATCGATTTCATCTTGTGAAAATACAATGGGTGGTGGCGGGTTATCAGCGTTGGCTCCTCCTTTGGGGTTTTCCTCTGCGATTTTCTTGAGTAATTGAAAACGGTTCTCTTGTGGTATCTCCATCGGGATCGGCTTTTCTTGAATTTTCGCAGTCTTCTTTGGGGTAATCAAATGACTTTCATTATCGGGAATTGTGGCAATTTGCTCCGTTCGCTGCTTCTTGCTAACGAGTCAGTTAGTTTTCCTTGCATGTTCCAATGCATGAGATTATCAAGTTTGTTCTGTTCTTCGGGGGGGGGGGTTCTTTCTTTAATCGTAGCTCGAATTCCAAGTGTTGTGTCACATAATCATCTCCGAACTCTTGGATGAGTTAATGTATTTTTTTCTTCTCTGACTCTTTCTGCATTCTTAATTTCCTTCTCCGAATTCGCATTCTCCTTTTTTTGTTTTCGCTTTTTTCCTGAGTCTGGGATCCTTAAAAAATTCCTCACGTTGTGAAGTAGATGGCAGAGACAAAGTCGATAATCCAGAATCCGTGCAGTCAACTAGCTTCATCATCCGTATTTCTTGCCCTAGAAAAGGACATGCTTACAGCGAAACCCTAAAAGATCATTCGCCGAAGTCTAAAAAGGTACTCAGTAAAACAAAAGTAAACTCACTGACCGCCTACGGGGCTGGGTCAGTTCATAAATTGAGCCGTAAAACTAAAGTGCGTCCAACACGTTCGGAGTCACAGCTCGGAATGGATTGCTACTGAACTGAATTTTATGGTTTAAGTACAAAGAACATGGCATTTAATAAATAAAGGTAATACACAAAACGTTTAAAAAATTCCCCTTTGGACGTAAGTTAAAATCTGAAAGCTTTCAGATTTTTTTGCTTTTTTAAAAATATTTTACATAAAATATTTATTTTTGCCATCCAAATAACATAAAATATACTGCATGCAACATTATGTAAACAAATTAGTATTTTTTGTTGAATTTTTTTTCAAAATAGAAGATTGATGTACAATGAAAATGACATATACTAAAAGTAATAGAGTTATATTTTCTTTAAATCTGTCTTTTTTATTTCCGTAAATTCAAAATCGATTAATTTTTAGCATAATTAAAGATAGTTTCTAAAATTCTCATGCAAGAGGTACAAGATAGTTTCTCATTTAAAAATTATACAGGTGTAGTAAATCTTTTGGAAATTTTGACCCAATGGTTTCGGAAAAACTGTGCATGTAGGCAAGAAAATTATAATTACGAGCAATCTCAAATTGAAGATATCTTCAAATCTTGTACATGCGTATTATTACTTTAATAAAGAAATAAAAAATGTACTTATAAATTAAAGTTTATAAGTATGCATAATTATATTATTAAACAACATTGCATACAAGTTACACACTGCGATAGTTTGTCTTTAGATGTTTCAATAAGAATAATTCATTTCAATAAAGGTATACTGCTCAAAAAAAAAAAAAAAAAAAAAAGAAGGGGGGGAGACAGTGCTATATCTCCTGTTCTACTGGGCCGATTGACAAAATTCAAACTGTGTTTTTCATGTCTCGAAAGCGCGTCTTAGATATATATTAGATTTATATATAGCACTATTCTAACATAGATATTTTGACACAAAATCGGATTTTTTCTGAAAGAACATACCAATTTTTTTCCATATTTCGATTCTACGAATCAAATTATGCCAGAATGCCAAGTTTTGTAAAAATCGCACGAGTAGTTTTTAAAAATATTAGCTCTCAAAATTTCAAGCTCCTCAATGTTAATTTAATTGAATTTGGCAAATATACTTATTAAAATCTCTTTTTTATTAAACTTATTTGATTCCTTCTTTTCACATTTCGAAATTTAGGTTAAATTCCAAATATAAATTTACCAGACATTTTTCTCACTTTTTATAATTTGTATTTTTCTATTTTTAAATAATTTTTATAAATTCTTCAAAAAATTTTTGAATTATAACCTATAAAATTTTTACCATCATCTTAAAGTAGGTGTATTTCTAAGCATACCTGCCAAAAAAAAAAAAAAAAAAAAAAAAAAATTTCCCAAATATAATTAGACTTTTTTATTCAACATGTTCTAAGATATACACTTTTAATTTTACACTTTCGCGATTTTGAAATTTGGCATCTTTTTTTTGAGCGATAATAACGCCAAATTGGTTTATGGACTTTGTTACAGTGAATTGCCACAGCTATTTTTAACCTTAAATTTCAAATAAAATTTTACGGAGAATTAATTATACGAAATTTTTTCCCTCAATGATGTGTAATAAATATTTATGAATACTATATGAAAAGCTATTTTTTTTAAATTATAGATGATATTATTCAAATTTTTAACAATTTTTTTAAATTTCGCTCTTTCTTCCTTTTTTTTTAATATTTGTATTTCGTGTAACGTGTATACGAGTCAGTTTCCCTTAGAAAGTCCTCCACGAAGGCATCCCTCCCCTTAGGCAGATAGCCCTAATGTGCTTTGTCATAATTAAATTAATCAAAACCTCTTTATGAAAGCAGTCTTTCCTTTCATCTCATACCTTCAAAATGCTTAGCCTTTAAAACTGATAAAGGCTCTGACCAAATACTGATGAAAAGGATTGAATTGGATTATTAAGTTTCGGCAAAGCAGGGCTATCTGCCTAAAAGGAAGGATGCCTCCGTGAAAAGCTTTCTAAGGGAAACCAGCTGGCATACACGTTACACATGAGAAAATCCAAGAAAACGCCCACGCAACCAGCCCGTTTACCGGGATTCGAACCCCGGAGTGAACTACCAGTGTTCAGCGATTTTACCGCTCGGCCGTTTGTGGGCCTTTATGAAATGGAAGGCGATAACTTTATTTAAAATAATTGTCAGAAATACCAAGATATTTCGAAAAGTTGGATACTTTTTAATATACTTGCAGAATGCCTAAAGACAAAGAGCAAGAATGAAGCAGAATGCCTGAAGAAAAAGAGAAGAAAAAATACATTTTTGCGTAAAATTAAGCACTTGTATCTTTTTTTAATTTAAAACTTTTTAATCTTATGATATTTGAATCTTGCGATTTCAAAAATAAAACATTTTAAGAAACCAAATGTAGGATAAAATTGTGTAAAGCAATGGGAACAATGATAAATCTGTTTAAAGCAATTTATGCAAGTCATCTTAAGTTAAAATGTCGGTTATACATCTCTCTTATTTATATATATCTTTTCTGAACGGAACACTGAAAGGCGTGCTAACTGTGCTTTACTGTAATTTCTCTTTTAATATATGCAGTTTTCAAACGCATCGTAGTCTTGGGTCACAAAGTATTCAGTATCTTCCGAAAGAAACGCAATTCAAATAAATAAAATCAAATTCTTAAAAATTAAACTTAATATATTTAAAATGCTCAGTTCGAATGAATAAATTAAAAATTTTAAAATAATTATCTGAAGAGACAATGCAACACTAACAATTAAAATAAAAGTCTAAAAATTTAAAAATTACCTAAAATAGTAACTATGACTAAAAATAAAGAAAACTAATTTTGGCGCAAACTGAATAAAAAGCGCCAACATAAATTGTTGAATTTCTCCGTAAATTTCGCACAAAATTTTACAAAATTTAATATTTAGGCATAATTTGATTCGTAGAATCGAAATATGGAAAAAAAATCCGTATGTTATTTCAGAAAACGTCCGATTTCGTGTCAAAATAATTATGTTAGAGTAGAGCTATATATAAATCTCATATATCCTAAGTTGCGCTTTCGAGACATGAAGAACGCAATTTGAATTTCGTCAATCGGCCCAGTAGAACGGGAGATATAAAAACTGCCTTTTTTTTTTTTTTTTTTTTTTTTTTTTAAAGCAGTGTACATTCAAAGGGTATATTCAAATTAAATGTTCGAAAAAAAAAACATTGTAAAGAACGTTCAAACTTTGTGATATTTGAAAAAGAAATGTTTCAAAAGGATGAAAGAAAAGAAAAACTAATAGAACGCTCAGAACACTCGAGAAAGAATACTCAATCACGAAACATTCAGAGTAGGATTGGGCACTACTTAAGAAATGCCATGTCAATAAATAATAAGGCCGATTAATTGTTACTGACAGGCTATGCGGAAGTGTCACGTGTAGTTCATAACTGGTTGCATCTGTTAGAAAATTTCACGTTCTCGCAAGAATAATATCCGAAAATGCCACTTATACGGAACTGCCACTTCCGTATGTGTCACATCACCTCTAAACGTAACTGGCTCATAAGGCGGGAAGCATTAGTAATATAGTAAGTTTTCATTTGGAAACAGTAGTAGGTAAACGGTTAAATACAAACAATACAGTGTTAAATGAATCCGAGTGCCAGCTAGAGAATTGTGCAAGTTTTAGATTTGAAAGACGGGCAAGAAATGGTGATTTTCTTTTGTTTCTTCTCCATTTCTTCGGCACAATGTTTTTCTTCATTTTTATGGGCAATTATTCGATAGGTTCCAATAACACTACTCCTAGCTCCTTTGCTTTTATGCTCTTGTAGAAGATTTTCTGTAATCCCCATTCTTTCTAAAATGGCTTTGATCTCTTTTTCATTTGAAAGACTTTTCCCGTTGTTTGCGTTAGGAAATGGTATACCTTTCAACCAAGAGCAGTTTCGAATTTGGTTACAAGAGAAGCGTTTATTAGGATCTAATTGCAGCAATCCGTTGATGAGATCAGAACATTCTTTGGACACGAACTTTGGAATGGTAAAGCTTCCTGTGAGTATCTTCTTCTTCACAACTGAAACAGTGTCTCCCTTGAAAGGCAGTGAAGCTGTTACTATGAAATAAAGCAGAACACCGAGTGACCATACATCAACGCTTGGACCAACATAGTTTTCATTCTGGAAAATTTCTGGAGCTACATATGGCGGAGATCCACAGAAGGTTAGAAGTATTTCCTTGGGATTCTGTATTATTGTACTGAAGCCGAAATCCCCAACTTTGATTAGGTTTTTTCGAGTGATAAATACGTTTTCTGCTTTTAAATCTCGGTGAACGATGTTGTGCTTGTGCTGGAAGAACAAGAAAAAAATTTTAAATATATTTTAGATATAATATTTTTAAAATAATTTTTAATAATTATTTAAAAAAATTCCATTTATTAGATGAACTTAATAGCTCTGAAACAAAACAAAAAATATATAATTGAAGAAAAGTATTTATAAAATAAACTTTATTTTACAAAAAATTATAAATTTGATCATACCCGTTTTATTTATTTTATTTAAAATGGATATGATCATTAATGCACTAAAAGAAAAAACATAATTTATCATATAGTGTAATGGGAAAAGAAGATTATATAAAATCTTTTTTACTTCGTTGTACGAAGTAAAGAAGGTATTGTAATTGCGAAATATTTTGGTTTTCAGATTTCAAGAGAAATATTCATTTTGATCGTTCTCGAACTCATTTTGATTAGTTTCGTCATGACATCTCTACGTACGTATACCACAAATTCAGATTATACCTGGAAATATATACAACGGATTGCGATTAATAAATCGGCTTGAAAAATTTTCTTAAAACGGCCCATACATTCCCAAACTTTACTTCCTTGTACAAAGTAAAGAAAATATTGTAATCGGAAAAATTCCGATTTTCAGATTTCAGTGGAAATATCCATTTTGACCGATCTCGAATCTATTTTGCCTAGTTCCATCGTACATTTGCCGCATAACTCAAAAATGGTTCTCCGTAAAATATTGAAATTTTGTATTTGGGATTGTTATAATATCTAGTTGTACACCTCCTTTTTTTGGTTGCAATCGACATTACCAAAAGGGCACATTACTCGAACAGTGTTTCAACACAGTAAACCCGTGTTACAAATACAAATTAAAAATTTAAAGACCTTCTTATATTTTGTTTTCGTTTTCATTTTGCTGACAGTTACATCATAATAATTTAAAATTACAAAACCGGATAGATAAAAGATCCACATTTATTTAAACAGTAATAAATGAACTTTTATTCTATCTAAATATTTCAAGTAAGATTGTTGATTTAAGAATTGTATAAATATTTGAAGTTACTAAAAGAATTGGAGGATCGTATTAAGTTCAAATCAAGTGCAGCAAAAAATGTGTTTAATTTAATATGCCTTCAAGGGAGTCACGTGTTGTCCACATCAGATTTTTTTTAACTGTATTTTATTTTGGACTTTTTAGTCTCAGTTACACGTTATCCGTGATGAAATTTTTAGTCACTAGCAATAAATCATAAGAAAATTATGAAATAAAGAAAACTAACAGAACGTCATTCAGAGAATGAAGAAACCGCTTTGAATATTCAATTTCTGAAACTGGATATGATAACAATGCTACTTAACAACAATTTTACTATTATTGTTACATCATTGATTTATTCTTAGTAAACAAAAAGTTTGTATACAAATATTTATTCTTATGTATGTTTTTGATAACATCAGTCAGATATTCCCTTACTCTTGTCAAGCCTATACTGGTTTCGGTCTCAAGTTTTGTTTTCTATAACCTTGTGGTGCATGGTCACCCCCCTCTCTTCACCTCAGACCTCCTCTTACCCGTCTGACTGTTACGTCATGTACCCATACGGCAGAATTATCAATGAGCCGGCAACATCGCACATATTAGCAATAGCCCGGCAATACATGTATGGATTGATTGATTGATATTGTTACATCAACAATTGTACTATTGTTACTACTTACAATTCGAAGCTAAAATGAGGAAAGGAATATCGCCAGTTCGTGACTAAGCGCGCCAAGATGCGCCATTCCTCATTAAATGCTACAAAACGGCAAACTTGAAATGCTCTTTCACTGTCTGATTCAGAGTGCAAAACAGTTTTTTAAAAAATGTAGAAAATAGCTCAACTAATACTTTTTTTATCACTAACTTTTTAAAAAAGTTTGTTTTATAAGCTGGGGAAATTTTGAAAATTTTATATCCGATACATTTTTAGATGTTGAAGTTTTAAAACCCTAAGCTAAATATTCTAAAGCAAAAAATTTAGAAATTGAGTTGCAATTTTCCTTCAAATTCCATTGAAAAGATTTTTTCTCACTGGATGCACGACGAGGCTGATATGCTTGTTTTATTCGTTAAACGAAGATATGCGAGAAAACTTTCTTAACCATTAAATAAAAATTAAATCGAATTTTGAAAAAAAATCGCTTTACCACATTACATTGTCGTCGACAAACAGTGTGTGTAAAAAAGAATTAGCTCGGTAGCTTCTTGTGAAGTAGGTTAAAAATCGATAACTAAATTCCGCCCACAAAGAAATACCACGAGTCTACTATATAACAGTTTATGAAATTTATGAAATTAAACATAAAACACGAGCAAGAGACTTGGGAGGAGGAGAATACCGTACAAAAAGTAAGGTACCATACAAAAATACTGTTGTCTTTGTTACTCTTCCGGCCTCGAATCAGAAAGAATTAGAAAAGGTGAATGTGCAGCTGACTCCGCGAAATCGTAGAACAGAATGTCGGTTCGCGTTTGCTTCGCCGTGATGGATCGGTTCTTGTATTAGGCTGGCATAATGTTCAATTTTAGAAGGGAAAGGTTCTGCGTGACCTTCGCAGGGAATTTGCGAGGTTGTTTTTTTTTTTTTTTTTTTTTTTTTTTTTAAATAAGATGAAAGCAGTCATTTCACGCGGACGAATCCATTTTAAAATTTAACTGAACTCACTCTCTGAATGAGGAAGGAGAAAATTAGGCGAATATTTTTAATACGTTCAGCACCTGACGGTAAAAAGTTGAGGGGGGGACAGAAATACATTAATTTCCTCGTGTAATTGAAAAGTAAGAATTTTTATGGAGTCCAAGAAACTATGATATTTACAATTCGCTGGTTTATACCCACTTATTAAATAAAGGTTACAACAGAAAATCTCCATTCGTACAAAGAATTTGCTTTCAATTATTAATTGTTCAATAAAACTATAATTTGAAAAGCTTAGCTATATCCCAACGAAAGCAACGAACACAATGCGAGCAGATGAACTGATGTTGCAGATTCGTTGAATAATTCAAGAAATTCTATCCGTGATCAAAGGAAAAAAAAAATCATGATTTTACATGGTGCATGAGTAATTCGAAAGGTTTTGAAATACATAAAAAGCATCTAATTATAGAGATAATGTATGCACATTTGTATAAACCCGAAAAATCTCTTATAAAGAGGCGTGTTAAGAAACTTATATTTTTTGCATGATTTCAGATCTGGATAATGTAGGAGCCACTAAATGTGATCACGTTTGTCCGGTACTTTTTTGATAACATTGACCGAAAGGTAACATTAAACGACGAGGAAAAAATTCAATTTAAAGTAGCAAGGGAATTTAACTAATGGGACGTAAATATAACTAAAAACATGCAAATATATATTTTCACAGCATTTTATTTATGAAAATGCAAACATTCGTTTATGAAGAACTACTCACAATGTCTTGAATACAAAAGTTTATTTATAAACTGTTCATAATGTTTCCGGAAATTATTTGACAGATGCTATTTTTTTAATCGTAATACTTGGAGGGAGGGCATCCCTCGTCGAAAAAGAACATGAAAATGTAAAATTTAAAATTACGTTTAAAAAAGCAACCTTCGAAAATGTTTTCACGGAATTTTTTCTTCAGGAGCACCGAAAAGGGGAAAAAATTCTCCAGAAATTTTTTCTTTTGCTTCTAAAAAAGAGAAACCTGTGTCTGACCACGATCAAAATCGATAGTTATTCAAAATTTATGCCAAACTATGGTTTTCTTTCTTTTTTTTTTTTTTTTCTTTTTCCTTAATTTTAACTGAAACCTAGCTCTTTAGTGACTTAATCCCTTTCATGGCGACATTTCCCTATCATTTGCCAAGTTTTATAATATGTTCTTACCTTATTTGGCGACTTGACCCCAGTTTAAAAAATCTCTTCTATTATATTTGATGATATTTACCGAATTGTTGATCACAACAAACGGAGTATTTTTGATGTTTTCGTATGCAAACGAGCAGATTTCGTCAATTCGATAACACTATCCGAACCGTCACCATATTAAGCGGCATCTACAGTTCTTTAGGTAGGTAACTGTTAGCTATCTAAGTGATTTCGTGGGAAAACGCTAAGTTAAAAAATGGCATATTTACTATAAATAAAATTTATTTTAAAAATCAAAAGGAATATAAACTTCCCATTACCAAATAGCGGAGGGGAAAAAAAAAAAAAAAAAAAAAAATGTTAGTCTAGAAATCAAACACAGAATAAACTTTATTGAAAAAGTCAGTTTTATTATATTTAGTTAATTTCATTTAAAGCTGAAATCTCCTTTCCGTTATTTACCATTACAGTTAAGTTGCTATCACACACGATATTTGTTGCGGGAACATAACGTTAGGAGGAACAATTCTCAGAATTCCGCTTCCGCGAAATCGGGTTACCATCTTCACCTGGTAAACAGGCTGAACGCTACACAAGAATCAGTCATCGCTCAGATTGGCGAAAGTGACGTTTCCTTTCAAATGACGATTGCTTGTTCGTACTGTATTTTGTATCCCTCGCACTCTTTTGTTTTAAATTTTATTGTTAGTTACGGAAGATAATAAAAAGCTGATGGCTATTAAGTAAATCACTTTTATCTCGGCGATTCTAAAAAATAAAGGGAAAAAAAAAAGTGCAAAGAAAAGTCCTATTCTTTGTAATGATTTGTTGTATATATTTGATTTTATTATTGTAAATAGTTATTTTTGTATCCATGTATTTATTTAATAACTTTTATGTGCATGACATAATGCCATTTACTGATATTTGTTTGTGTTTGAGCTGGGAGGAGGGTTATTCAATTATGACAAAGCACACGAGGGCTATCTGCCTAAAGGGAGGTATGCCTTCGTGGAGGACTTTCTAGGGGAAACTGGCTCGTATACACGTTATGCATGGGGAAAACCACGAAAACGCCCATGCAGCCAGTGTTTGAGCTGGACTCATTAATATCATTGCATATTTTTTTTGCTTTTATGATAACTATTTTAGGCGG